TCCCCAAGGGGAAAGCTATGGACAGCCCCTACATAACTGTCCAGCGTGCTGCAGCCCACTGCTGCAGAGAGGTGGGAGCATACCTGCAGGAAAGCTGCTCACACACACCCCGAGGGCAAACCTCTTTCCCCAAAGCAGCTTTCCAAAGACAATAATCCACCCTTGGTCTGCCAGGTGATGCCAGGGGTGTTTGGAGGTTTCCTTGCAGAAGGGGACAGACCCCAGCGGCCTCTTGCCTATGCCCTTTCTGGGGTCTCCCACCCATGTGGCTTCCCATCATCCTCAGGCCTGCCTCCCCCCGGCTCCCATCTCCAACTGACAGAGCCTTACCTTGATGGGTGAGCACGGGTGGGCAGCCGGCCCCAGCAGGAGCAGCCCCCCGGGGCCCCCGCATGGGAGACGAGGAGGGCTGGCGCAGAGCATCCCGTGCAAGTGTGCCGGTGTCCGGCTCACCCTTTTGTGTCCAGCGGAGCAACTGCAGAGCCTCCAGAGGTGGGGCCACTTTCCTCTCCCCAACCTTGCTGCCTGCGTCGCAGAGAAATGCAGCAGGGCTGCCCTGCCTGAGCCCTTCCCCTCTCCTCCTCCCTGCCAGCGATGGAGAGCACCAGCCGCCCGCTCGAGTTGTGCCTCCCACTGCACCTACCAGGAGGCTTTTGCCTGCTCCTGGCTTTTAGATGCCGTTTCCCCTTCTGCTGGAGAGAGCCCCAGCACCAGCAGTGCTTGCTGGGTGCTTTTCCCCTGCCTGTCTCCCAGGACTTCACACTGTGACCTTCAATTCCTCTCGGGTGCGTTGCGCTAAATCCCTGCTTTTCTTTCCCTTCAAGATGTGTTTGTCACCGTCTGGTTGTTCCTTGGCTACTGCACGAGCGGTTTCTCCCTCCTTGCAAGTCCAATGGGTGTGTTTCTGTCTCTCCCTGGTGTGAGAGCTTTCCCGCAGGGATATTTCCTCTCTGCTTCTCTTACTGCCCGTCTCGTACACGCTGCTTAGCTTTCCCTTCCTCACAGTGGGGATTTCTGTCTCCTCTCTGGCATCGGAATCAAACTTTTCCCCTTGTTTTGAGCTGACTTACTTCGTAGGCAATCTCAGCACCGAGGACTCTCTGCCTACAGTTATTTTATTTAGGATTAGCAGCAGGAGCAGATGCGCTTTGCTGCGTGCACCTGGAGAGGGAACAGCCCCCCGATGCAGAGTAGGGAAGGGAGAAGAGGGGGGAAGATGAGACCGGTTCAAGGTGGTGTCCCCATCTTGCATCATGATATTGCCATCTCCCCTCAGGCCCCTGTTCTGTGTCACAACTACCGTATTTTTTGCAGCTGATTTTCGTTTTTTACTGCATGCAGGATCTTCACTATGTGCGGGATTGTTCCTTTGAATCCCAAAGACAGCCACAAAGACAAGATGGCCTTGGCAATGAGAAACAGAAAGGAAACCCCCAAAAGTCCTGGGAACAGGTAGTATTTCGACAAAAACACTACACTACTAGCCTTCAGTCCTCCTCTGCTGATCAGGGCTTTGCACGTGCAAATACGGGCATGTGATCCTGCTTTCAGGAACTGGGGGAGCATGTGGGAAGGGGTAGTTGCCCCCGGGGTGCACTTGGAGCATCTTGAAGATGGTCCAGAGCGCAGTACCACTTGCGTGACAAAGCCGTCGCCACCCCACTGCCTGCTCCCCAGGTGCTCATTTCCTCTGGTTTTCCTCTCTACTTGCATGCAGTAAATGAGAGCATGTGTCTCGGAGATGGCTCTAAATCCAATAATGCGAAGGATTTAATGTTGCGGCACCCACAGGAAACCAGAGACATGCAAACTCGTTTCTCTCTGGAGTTGGAGCCAACCGGGCCACGACGTTGCTGCTGAGTGATGGCGGACGTGAGCACCCATGAGCAGGCTGCTTCAGAAGGACACTGTTGCTCTCCTAGGGGCTGAAACCATTATTTATTGCAGGGATGTGATATAAATGAACTGGCTTCCCAAAGAGTATTCTCCATATGTTAACATCCCTGCTCCTGGTAGTCTGAAATCCTCCTCCCAATTGCTTTATTCCCACACTCCTTCCCACGTAGCCTGCTGTTGCACTGGAGCAAACCACACCATATCAGCAAAAAGCATTCGCTTGGTCTTGGCAGCATCTCTGCGAAGCAGAGGGGTTTAACTTGGATTGGGGAATAGTGTTAGGACTTGAACCTGAGGGGAAGCTGTCACTAAACACAAGCTGGGAATGGTTTAAAAACCAGAGGACAAGAGAAAGTCATGGGAAGAGATCTGCAGAGGTTGGAGGCAGGTTTAGCTCATTATAGCAAGAGGAGCATCCTCGCTGGGGCCAGCTGAGGCTTGTTTGCAAGCTACAAAGAGAGCAGGCACCAGAGCTGGAGCTCCCTCTCTAACACAGGTTGCCAAAAGTAGTGCCAGGCTGGCATGGTCCCATGGTGACCCTGGCATTGCTGGTCCCCCTCCAGCCTCACTGGGTGTTTTGGGGTGTCTGGGGGGGTTCC